TCTCTCAGCAGCACCACCAGACAACCGTTCGAGTTTGTACGGGGGCGCGTGCGGCGGGGGGAGAAGGGGGCAAACCTCGTGCAAACTATAACATTCTCCAAGACAAACCTCAGCTCCATGAACGTGTCTGAGCTTTCTGCTGATGTCCAGTCCCAGGTTAGCCATGTGTGAGGGGTGCCTAAATTGTCCCTCAGACAAAAACACAACTCCTGCTGTAACAATATTCCTTGGATAAAATGAAGTCATCAAAATATTAAGAAATGTGACCCTTCTGGACAAGAACACAGTCAGCACAGGCGAGAACAGCCCACACACAACAGGCTCTGTTCTAAGAGAGCTCTCGTTTTAGATGCAGAACACAGGAACAGTCTTTTGATCAAGTGCATTTGGAATTTCTGGGGCCACCTGAAAGCTTATCAGCACATCAGTCCTGGGCTGATGGAAAAGACTGTGCTCACTGCAGTCTAACAAACACCCAAAGGCCACTAGCCATTGCCTTTTCCCAGTCCTGTGGTATATGATGTCTGTTCAAAGATCTCTGAGCAAGTAACTTCAACAACCTAAGTACAGGTACTGTTTCTCTTGACAACTGGTCTCTGAAGCGTGTTCTTAAATCTGTTTTCAGTCTAAAGTTCAGTCTTGCCCCTTTTCAGCAAGGCACAATGTCACACCACGGATTACTGGACTCCACGGATATGCGTGTGAAATATACTAATTACCTTTAGCATTAAGCACTGTACATTCCCCGCATGCTTTATTTAACCCATCTTTAAGGTAGCAGGTACTAGGACTGCTCTCCCTTACGGAAGAGGTCAGTGTGCGTTAGGAGTTGGGGAGCAGGGAGCTGGAGCGGAAGCTCAGTGGTTAGGAGTGCCCATTGTCCTTGCTGGGGGCCTGAGCTCAGCTCCTGAACCTGTAACCAGCTCTAAAGAGATCGGACACCTCTGCCTCTGAGAACGGCTCACTCACATGTCACACCGACACACATATATATAGCTTTTAAAACTTAATCTTAAAAACTAAGAACAGGTGAGTAACTTGCCCACGACGATACAGTTTCTGAGAGAAAGCAAAAGAGAAAACAAGCAGTGAAGTGTGGGTGATCACAAGTCTGAGCAGAACGGACATTAAATCGGTCCCACGGCCCTCCTGCTGAAATCGCTGCTCCTAGTGCTGCCGTGGGGCTGTACTTCCCATCTATCCAACTGGCTTTTCGCTGTCTTTCTCCTTTGGAAAACAGGAAGTGCCCACTGTGTGATGTGCTGAGTACAGTGA